GCATTCGCAAACTCAACACCAGCTCCAAACAGTGTAGGCAGTACATCAATGAAAGAAGCAGTGCATTGCAACAACTGGTTGTCAGAATCAACAAACGAATTCTCTTTTGTAAGACATCCCATCAGCTTGAATATTCTTATGCAAGTTGACAATCTCCTTCGCATATTGAAACAGACTTGTTTTTCATCCAATGACACTGATAGTTTTAAGAGTTCTTTGCAGAGAAGAATAAGGCGGTGGATGCATCTCAAATGAACAATAGCCCAGTGCTGAAAAAGAGTACTCAGTTTATCGACATTGCGGGGAAAAGATTGTCTAGCCGTAACTGGATTGACCATATCGACTTGTACACATTCAGCAATTAAAGTGTTTAACAGGTTATCATCTGCTTCCTTTCCCCGGGAGCACATTGGTCCTGACCAGAAACAAATAAAATTATGCAAATTAGGGGAGTTGCGAAATCATTATAGGAAAAAAAAAAAGGTATAGCAGACATCCGTGGAGCAATACCATTAAGCATGCACTCGACATTGTCCTTCCACTGCATGGTATCATCTTTATCAGCAACAGTGGGCAACATGTCCACCTGAACGTTAGTAGTGCATGATTGCAAGACATCCAACTCCTTATGCACTCCATCAACTAGCAACAGCTCCAATAACTGTACCATAATGTTCTGAAAAGGTAGACAGGATTAAGTAAGAAGCATGGAGTATGGACATTATCATTCTTGCAAACATGTCAATGACACCTAGGGTTGATATTTTGTTTAATTTATTATTTATTGGACAGTAAAACGATTGAACAAAAGAGTGAAACCACAAGATTAAAAAGTATATTGAATGAGACGCCAATAATACTATTTTTTTGTAAATTGCCTCACACATCCTTCATAAGCACCTACCCAGCCGAAAGTATAAAGTGAAAATAGGAGGAAATAGGACAATTTAAACAACACATCCATGCCAAGTGCAACACCGAGGTCTGTAAATATCGGAACTCACCCTCACGCTCATCCACTAACTCTACACTTTGTGTTGTAATGTAAAGTAAAAAAAAAAAAAAAAAACACTAGTAAACCACGACTTAGTATTCATTTGAGAAAATGATTTGGAACTTCCACTTATCCCGTCCAAGAAGATAAACACCATAAACCCATGCACAAAACACAGACGAAAACAAAAGGACAGCACGTAATCACCAACCTGAAGACTTGCATCATCACTTTTACAAATCCATTTTTCCAGGTAACACAACGCAAACTCCATCGACTGCTGGACCACGGCCACAACAACAGGCTCAACTTGCTCAGCTGCCAAGTAAAAGACAGACTCAGCTCAAGAACATAAGGCTACAACAAACTAACTCACAACCACGAGCAAACTAATGCAATCAACATACCTGGCGACGATCGAATTGCTTTAACAACACCAGTCGATACACAGGCCAAGGCATGAATCTGGGCTTGGTCCCAGACCTCTAATGCTAAACTGCCGCCGGCCGCTTCACCATCATAAAAATCAAACGGCCTGACGGATTGCCTGAGGAGCGAGTAGAGCTTCTCGAGCCCTAGCCTAAGCACAGGCGCCGACGCGTCGGAGCGGAGCTTTGAAGAGAAATCGTCGGAGGACAGGGCAGCGGCAAGGGCGGCGATCTCCTCCGCCATGTCAGCACGGGGAGTTTCGATGTCGCGCCGATCAGCAGAAGTTCATCAGGTGGGGTAGGGTTGATCGGGAAGCGAGCGCGAGCTCCGGCGATTGCAGTTTTTACGGCGAGGAAGGGGGATTTCTGAAAATGAAATGCGATGAAGGGTTTATGTGGATTTGATTGAAGAGTATTTTAGGTTGATTAGTGACGAAGCTAATAATCGGAAATGAAAAATATAAAGTGAGAGGAATTGTGAAGCTATTTTATTAATCTCGAATACCAATTTATCGACCAATTGGAACTTTTGGCCCTTTTATAAAAACTTCGAGTGCGTATAAGTTCACCGACTTTAGGTTCTTTGTTAGATCATCTAAAGAAATTGAATCAAATTAGTATATTCAATCAATTTTAATAAGTTATTTATATAGCGAACTAATTAAAATAATTCATATACACGAATAATAAAAAAAAAACTAATAAGATATAAAGTGAATTAATTTGTCACCATATTTAATATGGAGTTAGACTCAACATTATTGTCATTCACCTCATTATGAAATAATTTGTGACACGAATCATTGAAAAATAAATTAGTAACATGTTTTCAAAAGTTGGTGATATGGGTGATTTTTTATAATATCAAAAGCCACATTAGAAATGTTATTATCTCGTGCATTATATTTTTTCATGTATCGTCGTGCATTATATTTCCTCATTTATAGATTAGTTATTGTTGTTTTCCAAATTTTTGTGAAAAATGTATTTATTGTATTTTAGGCGCTCGCGAGGCAGCACACTGATGTCTAGTGCTTGAATGTGGAAAAGACAACGCCTGAATTAGATCGTGAAATATTAATAAAAGATATTTATATTTATAATTGGTTAAATATTATTTTGCAATATGTTCTATGCGCCTATTTGGGATTTGCAACTTCTACAACTTTTTATAATAAGTTGCAACTTGTAATACACAAAATGTCTGCATCGCAATTCTCGGTCATTGATGGTCTAATTTCCTCAAAAAAAGGGCAAGCATGTGCAACGCCCACACCAAAATTGATGAAAAAACGTAATTTCACCCTAATCAAAGAAAATATATTGTTTTATAACAAAACTCTTGTTCTGGAAAGTTTACTTTCCAAGCTAAGTTGGGAATAATTGAGATTGAAATCGAACACGTTCTGTAAAGAGATGATATGCAGTCGTGTTGCAGCGTCGTCCATCGAGCTCTAGCTAGATCCCCTCTCATAGAGCAGGTTTGTCTCCGTCCTTGGCCGCAGAAGCACACTTGTTGCCCCCGCCAATTCAACCTTGTTGTGGAAGGATAACAACTTCTCCTATATAGTTTCCCCTTTATATTCTTTTCGGCTCTAACGTTTCGGTGATGCTTTGGCGGCCACATCTAAAGTAATTAATTAATAGTCATAAGCCATAAAACGTTGTCGGGAGCGACCTTGCGGTGGATAAGTGAAAGTTTTCTTCCCATTTTAAACCTTAATCAAATTGAAAATAATTGAAGGAAATGAGATAAAATTCGAAGAGAAGAACCCTATATTGATTCTGTTAATTTGAATTTGGGTGAGTATTTTGCCCCACATTAAATTCAGGGGAAGACCAATAGACATCAGGTGAAGTGCCATTTTTCTTTCTTAGATTTAGTACGTGTGTCTTGCATGTTTGTTTTTTCGGTGGAATTTGGACCGTCGATGGCCGGAGGTTGCGATAACATTTTGTGTATTGCATTTGCAACTTATTACAGCAAAATTGTAGTGTGTAGATGTTGTAAATCCCAAATACGTGAATAGCACAAATTACAAAATATTATTTACCTTTTATAACTCTAAAGAGTTATATAAGTACAAGTTGCAAAATATTTTATATTTTAAAGATACATTATATAAAATATATTAGTTAACATGATCAAATATAAAGATAATGCAAAAATTAATACGTTCAGAATTATTCTTAATAAATAAAGTATATTCAATGCATAAAAATTAAATTATTTTTCAATGATAAAAAATAAATAATTTTTTTAATAAAAAAGTTATGGACCCCTAGCTGCCGTTAAGACCGCCTAGGTACCTATGCCGCTATCTAGATAGTCTATACATATTGAATATCATAACTACCAGATGACGTCTTAGGCAGATTGCCCGAGTGTCTAGAATGACCGTCTATACAAACTTGATGTCGTTTTACTTTTCGAGATTTTGGGAACATATGCGGCTTCGGATTCAATCTTAATTATAATATTCCTACATAGTTAAATAGTTTTTGGAAGTGTAAGAAAAAATATAGCTTTAAGGGCGCCTTATGAGTTCTCAAACTTATCTAGAATTTTTGGTGAATGTTTTGAGCATTATGGGTAGTTTATGTTATTATCTGGACATATTTTAATCAATAACTTATCTGATTTGAACCTTGTAAAACAAGGTGGCTTGTTTTAAATATCTCGTGTTGTCATCGATGGAGAAAGCAACAATTTTGTTTTGAAGAATTTTGAAGGACCAGATGTGGTGCTTAAAACATTCACATTGTTGTTGCTCGAGTAAATTACTGATAACCGTTCACACATTTTAATTTTACACCTCACGCATTTTTCATTTTGCAGAATACACCACGGAGGACCAAAAAATAAATACAAAATGTTCTCACCATTTCCATCTTGGTTGTATATATGAGTGGATGGAAAGAAGTGACAACTGCCCAGTCTGTGGCAAGATAACTGTTCTGAACATTTCTTGTACATTAATTTCGGTTAGATTATATTTGAAGATTAACTTTATATATACCTCATATTTTTATTAAATGGATAAATTATACTCTTTTCATGTACATTTTATGGAAACTTACGTCTACACAGTCATTTATCACTATTCAATTACAGTTTTAAATAGATTATTGAATAATATCCCAACATATTTTATCAACTCACTTTACATGCTAGTTGCTGTTTTTTT